TGCACATTGTTCAGAGGCACAATATTAATCATCATAATTATGCAGATGACCTGCAGTTATATATTTCATTGTCTTCTGGTAATACAGCTCTTCACTCTCTTATACAATGTATCAAGGACATGGATGCCTGGATGCCTGAAAATTTCTTACAATTAAACCAAGACAAGACAGAAATTCTGGTATTTGGTCCAAACGCACAGAGACAGACAGTGGTAGACTTTCTCGCCTCTCTGTCTCTTAAATGTAAAAATGAAGCACAAAACTTGGGTGTATTTTTAGACAGTAACCTGAATAAAAAAAAACACATGAATCATACAACTAAAATAGCATTTTTTCATTTACGTAACATTTCTAAAATCAAACTTTTCGTCTCAAGAACTGACCTCGGAAAGCGAATCCATGCATTCATAACCAGCAGGCTCGATTATTGTAATGATCTTTTAATTTCCCTTCCTCAGTACGCTATTTACAGATTGCAACTGATTCAGAATGCGTCTTCTCGTGTTCTGACTGGTACAAAGAATTCTGAACACATTACTCCTGTTTTAAGATCTCTGCATTGGCTACCAATTGAAAAACGAATTGATTTTTAAATCCTACTGCTTGTATATAAAGTTCTCAATGGCCATGCACCACAATATATTACAGACATGCTAGTACCTTATACGCCGGTCAGACCACTTCGGTCTGCAGATCAGGGCAATCTGGTGATACTGCGTACACGTTCTAAGTCAGGGGAGGCTGCCTTCAGTGTCTATGCACCTAAGATCTGGAATACTCTGCCTTTAGAGAAGAGGGAAGCAGCTACAACAAATGTTTTTAGGAGAAATTTGAAAACCTTTTTATTTGAACAAACATATGGCTAGGTTGTTTCATTTCTAATTTATTTCCTCATTTCATAGACATGGTTTTATTCATAAATAAGTTCTTACAATTATGTTTTATGGCTGTGCATCGATGTATGTGCGTGTATAAATGTTTGTGTGCGTGTGTGTATGTGTATGTGTGCGTGCATGTTTGAATGTGTAGATTTTAGTTTCATGTGTATATTTTAATATGTAAACACCGATCGTTTTTAAGGGTGTACATATTTTATAATTGTTTGTTTCATTTAGTCTCTTTTACTGTTAAGCACATTGAGTTGTTGTCGTACAGGAAATGTGCTCTATAAATAAAGCCATTCATTCATTCATTCATTATTATTATTGTTATTATTATTATTATTATTATTATTATTTAATTAAAGCTTCACTGAGGCCTAAATTCAACTCTCATTACACTCAAAGATGTGAATAGTACCTTTTTATTAAATCATGGAGTCAGAAATGATGCTTTGCAAATAATTTTTCATCTGCATGAAACATTTTTTTCAGTTTGTAACCATGGCAAGGATAGACTGACCCAGGATTTTATTTTAAACATAAACAAGATCTAGAAAATTGTGAATGTTGAGAGAAACTATTGATGGGTTGGTAAAGCCATAGGTCAAACTGAGAGAACAACACTGGGGTTATTCACATGAAAGGATGAGCTGGACGCCGGTAAACTGTTGGTGCTGCAGCAATGATGACATCTTCCTCAGAGAAATAAACAAAATAAAAGACAGATTCTGGTTGATGCAGTACAATGTGCATTAGGTCTTTGTTTAATCTCACTTGAAGCACGAGTTCATATGAACAACGATTATTAAACGGGTTTGTTTAAAGTGTTTACTCTGGCTTGAGGCAGAGCTGCTTTATTTATCATCACTCAATTAGATTAAAATATGAAAATAGACCTTTTTGTTTAATGTTCATCAAGCTGATGAATTTGGCGGATCAGTTTTCTCCATCCACTGGCCCATCCCAGTAATAAGCATGGAAATCACCTTACACAGACTTACATGCAACATGGTTTTACTCTTTGTCCTGTGCTGTCTGAGCAGAGGTGGCCGCTTGGCCTGAGCCGTTTGCTCTCATTATCTGAGTGGGCGAGAGCACAAAGCGGATGTGATCGGCCGTTTGATTGAGGTTAAAGCCTTTTTGTGCTTTTTTTTCTCCCGTGCACCCCTCGCTGCCTCCTGACCTCTCCTCTGGGCCGACTGGTGTCAGAAAGCGCCGGAGAGGTGTCGGGTCAGAGAGGCGGCGTCCTGCAGCAGAGAGCAGAGAATGGGTGGATGAAGAGAAGAGGAGGAGATGAGCAGGGATATAGAGTGGTTGTGACAGGTGAGCTGATGGCTCTCAGGCTGAAAGGCTGCAGGCTGTGATCTCTTGATGCAGCTTACAGAGGGACAACTTATTAAAATAAGGGGATAGATGCAGAGTAAATGAATTGACCTAAAACCCTTAGGTCAGCCCCCTCCCCCCCCCCCCCAGCATGTGCGTGTGCTATAGCGTCCACCCCCACTGTGATTGACAGCCGCTGCCGTTGTCTAATAATGGTGTGAGTATTTTTCCCAGGCTCTATAAAACTCTGCTGTCCTCCTGCAGAGGCCGTTGGATGTGGGGTGGGGGTGAGTCCAGAAATATGGAGCTTAAATGATAACAGATGACACACATGAGGCTAGAGGCCCCTCACGGGCTGTCATTCTCCCCAAACTGAACGTTTTAGCACACACACACATCAAATCTGTAGAAGGAACAAAACAAGGTATTTTAAGGTTTAAAGTGCAATCAAAGTAAAATAAATGCTTAAATAATAAAACATTATAGCAGGACGTTTATTATTAAAAGTTATAAAAAGTGGAGTGGTGTAATGCAATAGCTTTTCCATGAGTTTGTTTTTGTTATCGTGGAATTTTATCACAAATAAACCCTCAGAATGAGCCGTGCAGACGCAATCTCGAATGAAATTCACCATTTTTCCACAAGCTGCAGGTTGTCTGATTTCTGCTTCTCCTAAATGGTTTTAAACAAAAGACAGATCGTGCAAAAAGCTAAACAGCTTCCAAATCAACTAAACTACAACAAAGAGTCAAATGTAAATCTTTAAATAAACACAAGTGATTTGAGATGTTCTGTTAAAGTCCCTCAGGCTCATGCTGCAAACTAAGAGCTTACATTATATTAAAGCAGCAACGAGCTACTTTCATTACATGGTGAAGTGCAACTTAAAAGTAGCTTGATACGTAAAAAAAATAATAATGTCATAAAGTCAGATACAAACACTTTTCACAATGTTTGCAAATAGTTTTGAATCAATTGAGATTGCAAGCTGTAGCAACATTTTAGGATTTCTGCACTGAAAAACACGTTGCAGATTATTAAGCCAGTCATGATAAAAGTCTTTCAGCTCAACAAGATAAAAAATAAATCCTTTTCAAAAATCTCAAAGGAACATTTTGTCTTTATTGTTCACCTTTGATTCAAAAGTCACCCCGAGGTTACAGCAGTCGTGTTATCCGCAAACCTTTGATGAACTCGGGAGCTTAACATGGATTCTGGAGAGTGGCGACATAAAATTGAATGATAATTACATCATGTTGTCTAATGGCAGCCATTACAATAAAAGCGAGGGCGACCCGAAGGTGCGGGAGGGGCAGGAGGAGAAGCTCCCTATGCTGACCTTTCCTCAGGAAAGGGCAAGCTCAGGCAACAGCCAGGGCGTCGGGGGCTCGCCACCTTGTCTGCCTCTCTGAGCTCTCCATTCAGAGGCTAACACAACAGCCAAGTTTCGCTGTGACCCTGTGGGTGTGACACTCAACCTTTGCCTTAACCTTCTGACCGCTGGTCACAGCTGCAGCTGAGCGGTTGGAGAAGGTCAGGGTGCAGGGTCGGCCGAAGGGGTGACTGATGGGTGAGTGATGAGGACGGAGGGGGAGGAAATGGAGAGTAAAGATGATCGAGGGAGTGGTAAAGAGAAAAGGATAGAGGGACGAAGGGAGTGTGAGTCAGATGTGTTTTTGAAGAGTTGCTTTGGTTGATCACTGGTTCGTGTTGTTTTTTACCTGCTTCCAAATGCAAAGGAAGAAATATGTGTTCTTAAATTTGATGAACATTTGCGCCAGCATTGCTCCTCATGATTTCTGCAGAGCGTTCAGGCGTCTGGCCTAAAACTCACGTTTGGGCTCTGAGAACAGGTGCCTTCTCTCACCTACTATCTGCAGGGGGAAACATGTTTCTTTTTTCTTTTTGTAATTTGGTTAAGTTGACCTTTTAACAGAACTGTCAAGCGTGAAAGGCAAAGAACGTGGGACTATGGAAGTGCAAAGAAGACAAATGGGCTTGCCGTACATTTTGTGTGAAGATCAGTCATTGTCCCAAACGCCCTCCCCCCACCCGGGTCTTTCTCACAGCTTCGCTGTGATCTGATGAAGGGATGGCTTTCATGTAAAAGAAACGTGTGTTTCTGGTCCAATTTCGGAGTCATCTGTAGGAATGTGTGCTGATGTTTGGGAACATCTGAGTTCTTTCAGACGGGTCAGACGTTGGAGCAGTGTTCAGTAAAATGTTTCCTGCATTGAATTTGATTTCTTTTAAGTTATAAAGAAAGCTCCAAAATCACAGAAGTGGGTACCATCTTAGACACAATTTTGTTGGGGAAGTACGGGGGGACATGCCCCCCCCACCCACTTTTTCCAAAGTCAATTTTTGTTCCCTGCACATTTTACCATCTAAAAACAATAGTACACTATATTAAATAGACACTGGTTGAGCACTAGGACCAAGCGGAAAACAACAGCTTGTGCTGAAGCCTGTTTCCCATTAACACCGTCCATGCTCTCATCGATTGGCTCTGCTGATACTTGCTAACGTGTGATTGGCCGTTCCTGCCACCTGTGTACTTGACAGTTCTGCATTTCTGACATTGCATAAAAGATCCTCTAGGCTGTAGTTTTATACATATTTTTGTATACTTTCTGTTAAGATACCCCCCCCCCCCACCACCACCACCACCCCCCACCACCCCCACCCCCACCCCGGTTCTGTGTCCCCTTCACTTCTAAAGTAAAAACTACATCCATGGGTGCCATTATTAGTTTAGTTGTTAACTACTTACAAATACAATGTGAAACGCGGTCATTAATTCAATTTAGTTTATTTATATAGTAAGTAAGTAAGTAATTAAAGTTTATTTATATAGCGCCTTTCACAGATATAAATCACAACGCGCTGTACAACATGAGTAAAAGTTCTATATATAGCGCTAAATCATGACAAGAGTCGTCTCAAGGCACTTCACACAGTAAACATTCCAATACAGGCCAGTTCATTAAGCCAATCAGTAAAAAGTTTCCTATATAAGGAACTCAGCAGATTACATCGAGTCACTGACTGGTGTCAGTCTCCATAACAATACTCATACTAAGCAAGCACGTAGCGACAGTGGAGAAGAAAACTCCCTTAGCACAAGCTGCTGACATTAGTGATATTTGGATCAGTTTCTTATAGAATAGTCTCTTCTCTCCTCCACTCCAACTCCTCATCTGCAGATTTTGGAGCTTGACTCTGGTTGTGTTGACTCTCCATCATGGCTGCCACCTTCTGCTCCAGCCTCCACACCTGCTCCCGATACTTCCTGCGAATCTGTCTGTACGAACTCAAGGCTTTACTGGAATGAAGGGCATTAAGTGTGTTTAGAACAAGGTTTACAGCAAGAACCGTGTTTCTCTCTTGGGGATAATCACCTGTGAGCTTGTGTGAGGCGAGCGATCTGCTCTGCATTGTCCTTCCTGCTGGGGGCGCTGTCTGTCAGAGCTGTACTCAGAGAGTCCTGGGCCATGCCCAGTCTCTTCTTCAGGGCTTGTTCCCTGCAAAAACAATATGTTAAGTTAATATTATCAGTTTGCTTAAGTCAGTGGAGCTTTTTACTCACAGCAAAGTCAAACTTTATTCATTTAAGTGTCACACAGAATGCGATTTAAAAAGAATGAATCAGCAGTCACGGTTATGTAAGATGGAGGCCACTGAAGCGTTGCACAAAGAAAAATAACAAGTTCTTTGTGTCAGAGTCTGCTTTTCTGTTTTCTGCAGTTACTAAGCAACAGAAAAAGCCAAGCAAGAGGCAGCAAATGTATTTTCCAAGACCTTCTTATTCCATTGAATTTAAGTGTTTTTCTGATGCGTGTGATACAGTTAAACACAGAACAGTAGCCTAAAGAGACGAACGCTCACCTCTGCAGAACTGCTTGCAGCTCTTTCAGAATCGATCTGGTTAGAGGACTTGCAACGTCTCCGTCACATCCAGCCTTAGCAGCTGCCTCACAGAATCTCTGAGAAATAAGAAGCAAAAAGAACGTTCGAACACGCTCCATTATTTGCACTTTAAAGCTGCATTTCTTGTGGTTTTCAGGTTCCATCTGCTGTGACTGATTGCTTTGCAGAAACAACAGATGACACGGGGTCGTCCAGAATGTGGAACGGCATCTGCATGGATCAGATGTGCCAGAGAATGCTCCAGTTTCTCTTGTTGCTGAATAAATCAGACTCAGAGAGCTCAGAGTTGGGAATTTCTACACCTGAATGCACAAATGCCTTCAGCACTTAAATCTGCATCTATGCAGCACCGATAGTTTAGCCAGCGGCCAAATCAGTGTCATTTAAAATATGAGCCCATGAAAATTTGACTTCAATGATGTTTCTTGTAAAATGTTGAGGATGAGAATTATAGGACTCTATCTCACCTGCTTTTGTTGAACAAGCCAACAAGAAATCCAAATCCAAATGAGAACAGAGTTTTTACGTGTCAATAAATCCTTACAGAACAGCTTGTTACGCGATTCGGTTCAGCCCTAAATCAAATGAATCTCCGGATTATTGTGTTTGCAACCTCCTTGTAGGAAAGTACAGTTAAACATAATCACTTTGCAACAAATCGGGTCTAATTACTTTCCAACTGTCAAAACCATAAACATTAAAGGCAGCATGTAAGTTATGTGGTGTGACTTAGAGCTGCAGCAGCAGGACAGGCTGAAGACCTTGAGGAACTAAAATATCTGCCTGGGCCTGCAGGGATCCTGCTTTGGTAGATGTGTGATTTCCCGTGTGGGACGGCCAGATTTGATTGGGCTCTGTCGCAGTGGGGCAGCCCTCTGCTCCCTCTTGGTCCTTTCACCTTGACTTTACGATATAAAAAAACATATTCTCCTGCAGGAGTTTTGATACCTGTTGTTCGTTCCTCTGATGCTCCACCTCCTCTCTGAGACGCTCCGGGATGAAAACTCCCGCTGCTTCCTGGGCCTTCTGACCCATTAAACTCCACTCCAGACACCTGAGTTCCTTCTCCTTCAAGCGGATCAGAGCTCGCATATCTGACATTTCCTCCTGAACGAACCACAAACAGAAAATACACGTTTGCATTTATATGAGATATGTATCCAAATAGTAAATATAAACCAAAACTTTTTTTGTGATGTTTTTGTTTTAAACCTGGTGATAAAAAATGTACATTTAGAGGTAGAGATGACCAAACATTCTCTTTTCTGAAAGCAGCTCCTACCCTGACTGAGATAAGTTCGTGAAACACTGCTGCTTTCTCCTTCCTTTTATCAGCAGGTTTCTCCTTCTGCACTTGGCCCCATCTGGTCCCAGCAGGAGGAGCATTTTCTGGGCTCAGTTTGCTCTCCACTCCTGGATCTGGTTTAGGCACACAAATGTCTGCTCGGATCTTCTGCAGGCGCTTGATTTGTTGTTGAAGAGCAGCTTCCCGGTCCGTTTTTTCAGGCGTTCTGTAGAAAACCAGAAAGTCTGATTTGTTATTTATACCTTTAGCTGCACAATGATTTAATGATTCTGTTCTAACAGTTGCCTCGTGAGACTCAGAGTGTCCTCTGTGACTCCTGCTGTGGAGAAGGAGGTGGATAGCTCTTCGGTTCCCATTTTCCCGAGCTGGGCTGATGTATTGTCAGTCTGCTGCCTGTCACCGACGGGCTCTGATGACAGGGAAAATGGTTTGACTCAAACTGTGTCGGCCATGTGTGTGAATGACATCCGTACCTGTTATGTGTGTTAGTGTCAAGCTCTTTAAGCTGCAGTAAAACTTGGTGTTCAAACACCTGCTGAGTCTGTCTGCAGAGGAATGTTCTGCTGCCTCTTGGCCTCGTAAAGTGACAGTAGCTCGCTGTAGGCCTCCTCGCACTCCTCACTGTCAGTCAAAGTGCACAAAACACAACCTTGTTAGATGAGAAAAACACTTAACACTCATGGACTGCTGGCCCATGCACAGTCATTATTTTGACACGTATCAATCTGTAACCTTGACAGATGATGCTAAGTGCAGATTCAGGTGAGGAATACCTGTATCTGAGAGCCATCTGCAGAGCTGAGCATTCAGACTCCAATCTGGTTAGTTTCAGGCTGTTCTGCTCTGACTCTCCCTTCCTTCGTTCGAGAGCTGCAGTCAGACGCTCATTTTTGGCTTTTAGCCTCTCAATGCATCTGGAGTATTGGGACAGAAGACAGGGGGGATGAGGTGTTTCCAACCAGTCCAACCCAATCTGCCTGCAGTCTCCTGCAGCAGAGGCAGAGCTCTGCAGGCCTTCTTGTGGTTGGCTCTGGTACTGAACTAGATGCACTGCAAAAATGATTTCTAAGAAAGTAAAAAATTCTATCAAATCTATCTTTATAAAGTCTATACATTTTAGTCTAAAAATAAAATAAAATTTACTCTAGAAAAATAAAAGGACTTAAAATAAGGCGAATATTCATAAATATGATCCAAATTTACTTGTTTTGAGTGAAACAAAATCTGCCAAGGACATGAGTAACTCTTCTACAAATCTTAAAACTAGCAAAATAATCTAATTTTAAGTAAAAATTTTTGTTTTAAGATTTCTAGCCAAATAATCAACTTTTGCTTATGTCCTTGGCAGATTTTGTTACTCAAAAAAAGAAAATTTGGGCCATATTTAAGAATATTTACCAAATTTTAGGTAATTTTATTTTTCTAGAGAAGATTTTATATTCGTTTCAGACTAAACATAAGATAAAATGTCAAAAAATTAGGAGTTTTTTAGGGGTGCAAGTGTATAAATGAAACATCTACATAAATCCTTCATTTAATCTTTAAAACACAAACCAGTACATGACTTGGGAATCCTTTTATTCCTGAAATTTTCTCAAAATACAAATCTCACCTACTCAATCGCTCTGTCTCAGACTCCAGACTGACGGGGCTGGGACATGGACTGACAGAGCTCAGTGAGGATGCGTCCCCAACTAGAGACAAAGGCGTTACAGCTCGAGACGACCTTCTCTGGGGTAAAGGTGAACCTGGATAGGAGGAAGAAGCCCAGTCTGGACTGAGAGCCCCAGCAGGTGGTCGGTAGGAAGGAGAATGACTCCCAGACCTGCAGGCCTTGTTGAGCCCAAAAAACTGAAACATGAAAATGGAAAAAACCTTTGTGTTTGTTTTTGTCTAACTTATAAAACATTAAAAGATCAAAACTGGAGATCTGATCCAGCTCCACCAAACTCTACTCCCTATATCTAAGTGACCCTACCTTGTTTTTCTCCTCTTCCATTGAGCTCCGTGCTTTCTGCAGCTCCTCCTGGTGTTTCTGCATGATGGTCCTGGGAGAGGACTCGCGTCTGTCCACACCCAGCAAGTCATCCAGGCTCTGGTCCTTCTGCAGGCCCAATGGACATGAAATCCCAAACTCCTTCTCCATCTCATCCAGTATCTGCAACCAGTCAACAACATTGGTGGATATGTTTTCTCCCTGAATGAAATTAGACTGACAAAATCTTCATTACTTGAAGCATGCCGTAATGCCTCTAATCTTTTCCAGGTGTCACATTTTGTTAAAATGTTTAGCTGTTCTCACAGTGTTGATAAATTCCCTCTAGTTTGTCACCTGGGTGGCTTTAGCCCAGTTTTCCTGAGCAGCTCTCAGGTGCTCTTTGTGTTTGGCGTGATCTGAGGCTGTGATGGGAGCAGCCCAGGTTCTTCTGAAGTTGATTGAGTCCTCCACTGATGATAAAACATCCTGCAACTTTGTCCAGATGACAGTACCGCCCCCTAGAGGGGGAATTAGCAAAAGTACAGCACATGACATTAAAATACTCCCAACCCAGGTGCAGAAAATTCATTCAGATGAGGTTCAACCTTGGGTCATGACCGGATGTTTAGATGTGATGCTAGATGCAGAGTTCCTGTCTGGGCTGCTTCTGAGCAGCCGATGAGACAGGAGGTCTGGGACCAGAGGTCTGGATGGACTTGGTGATCTCATGTCACCTGGTTCACTGAGATAAAAAAAGCAGTGTTTGAGTTGAAATTAGGTAAATTGAGTGATCGCTGAAAGTAAAACTATCCATGAGACACCAGTGATTCAGATCTGCAGCTCAGTGGGTTTCAGCAATGGTGCAGCAGAAGGTCACATGACTCTTCACTCACCTCGGGGCCTTCAGGGAGCCCATCTTCTTATTTAGCTCATTGATGATGCTGAGCAGGGTGCCGACTTCAGCTTCACACTGAGCCACCTCTGCTGGTGTGGGTTCGAGGTTCACCAGAAGATCTGAACCCTCTGGGTCAAAGGTTACATAATCACCAGGGTTCAGCGCCTCCTTGTCACACAGGGAAGCAGGATCCAAGCTGTTGCATCTGCCCCTCTTGGAGTCCTGCTCAGACATGGAGTTTAATTTCAATTGTGAAGAAATAACTTCATTATTCAGCCACAGTTTTTTATTAAATACAGATTCAGCTCCCAATCTGTCTGTTGAACGCTGTTTTGTGAACTGACGCAACACAAAATCCCGTGTTTTGTGCCCGTAATGTTCCCAAATTATAATTGTCTGAAGCCAGCCATCAGACTGAACTGCAGCTATTGTTTTAGGCAAACGGAAAAGGAGGAAACCAAAAACATCCTGTGATCCAACTTCCTGTCAGGCAAATATTTGTGGATCATACCGTCCATTGTTTTCACTAAGAGATTTGGATTAACGCCTACAAATTAAAACCACCAAATGTTTAATTTGGTTTCAGTTACAAAGTTTGACTAAAATCACTCAGAATCACACCCACATTTAATTGAGTCAAATCTCAGCCTATTTGTTCAGACCAGAGAAGACAACATGCTTCAGATTCCTGTTCTCTGAGTCTGGGAGATTTCTTATCAATGTCAGAGGCTATCGCAGCATGCCGTGGATACTTTGTGAGACTTGTGGTCACTTTCACAATTTCTGGCAGTTTAGGATTTCACATTCGCACAAGAATGCAAATCTGATTAGGTTGAGCATGAAACGACTCCTCATTCCAACAAAGGGAACCTTTTAAAACCCTCGCAGTATCAGAATAATTAAACAAACATTTAATATAAAGTGCAGTGACTCTAGAAACAATCTTCTAATAGATCAGATTAACGCAACGCTATGAAGCATTTTTACCCAGCGTTAAACAACATTAGACTGGATATTTCAAACGTACATGTTGTAAAACAAAAAAGGCAAATAAATAAATCACAACTCACCTCCATAGTTGTTGGTTCTTACAGCTGCAATCTGAGGTTATGATAATCTGAGGTGTGGAAACATTTGACAGATTCTGGAGAGATGATTTTCTATCGCCCTGCTATTTTGTGTAATTATATTTTCCAGTCTTCAGTCATTTAGAGGCTGTAACAAACTGCACCCAGTCTGTCTGCCTAGCCTTGTTTATGTGATGAATGAAGTTAGCGGAAAACATTCAGAAAGACAACCCCACCCATTACCCTTCGCTCAGTGTCCTTTCCTGTTTTCTCCACCGCTGGTGTTGAGGCAGTGTTGTATTGTGCTGCTTCATCCTGTTGCCCATCACTCTGGAACAGGGTCCATCTGGACCCATCAGAGCAGTTTTAATAAAGCGTTACATAAGTCTTAACCCAGTTTTATACATTTCTGCAATCTCCTTAGACGTTTTCTCTGCTTGATGCATGCAATGAGCTGGCTCTTCTCAAACAGACTAACATCTTTTCTTCCATGACCATCAGATGTGTCTTTCCACGTGGTTTAAGAAATGAGGAGCAACTCATTGCACCAGTTTGGGTTAAATAACTTGCTGCCAGCTGAAATACAATCGCTCATGCAAAAATTATTCAATAGGAGGCAATTAAGGATCTTGGCTGAGTCTTTTTCCACAAATGCTGAATGAACTGAGCATCATGGTGATGCTTCATCTTGAGGGAACCTATCTGTAATTTGTGGTTGGATGGTCTCCAGTTTAAGGATATCTGATCATGAGAAGAGATGTGATATGTAAAGAACAGGTAAATTCCACAAGATAAATTATTAGTGTGTTTTTATTTTATATAAAATTAGAAAACTGACATATGCTGAAGGGCATTATGCATTTTTAAAATATAAACTGGAGATTACAAAAATCCACATAGAAAAATGGCCACTGTTACGTTTTGCTTACATAGGAGTGCCCCCCAGGGGGCGCCCCCAGAAATTTCTGATAAGGGTGGCTAGATGGGGCTAAAGAAAATTTTGGGGTGGCACACCAAACAGGTCCTTGTGATAATTCTGGGTGAGTTCAGCCTGTGGCGATGCATTGCATTGCTCCTTTATTCTTTTATTTTTTTAACACAATATGTATCCAAAACGCCTTTCAGAAAAATATATTTCAGTTATTTGAAATGAGATTTCAGAATGTACTTTAGAATTATTTTTTTTAGTTTAATTCACCTGTTGCTGTCTTCTCCAAGCACTACACTTCATGTTGTCAATGCTCCAGTTTTAGGTCTTTCACATGGGGCCAAACCATTTATAATGCTAATTTTGTCTGAGTAAGTAAGTAATGGTCCCCGGCATCTTTATTTAACCCTCTCAGGCTCAAAATAAGTTTTGATAAAAGGACGAACAACTAAGTCCATCAGGGGTACTTCTGAGTTAGAAAATGCTCATGAAATACGAAGGTGGGGTAACCAAGTAGGTAGGTTTTAACGTTGCAAATCTGCAACGCCTGCCCCCAGAGGGTTAAGGCTTGTTTTATTATTAACTGTGTAGAGTATGGACTGAAAGCCTCAAGGTCAAAGTGAGTAACACCCCCTATGTTGGTTGAGAAAGAGAAAACCAATCCATTTATGTATCCTTTTAAGCTTGGGACCTCTACCAGAGGCCCGAGAGCTTCAGGCTTCTGTGCAGTATCTCAGCTGTTCCTAGAACAGCACTTTTCTGGACTGAGATGTCTGATGTATTTCCTGGGATCTGCTTTAGCCACTCCTGCAGTCTGGGGGCCCCAAGTGCCTCAATGACCACGGGTACCACCGATGTCTTCACTCTCCAGGCTTCCTCAAGTTCTTCTTTGAGGCCCTGGTACCTCTCTAGTTTCTCGTGTTCCTTTTTCCCGATGTTACCAGCACTTGGTATTGGGACATTTAGAGGTATTCGGCTTTGCATCCCCGCCAGGTCACTTTTTCATTTTCCTAAAGTGTATTTCTTTTCTGTTTTTATCCTAAATAAAGTGTTTACAAATTAATTGTTCATGCTTTTAACAATTTATCTTATGCAATTTAGCGAAGAAGCCAGTCGTGGCAACTCTAAACACCACACACACACACACACACACACACACACACACACACACACACACACACACACACACACACACATATGCACAATGTGCTGATCAGGGCACATGCTAAAAAGAAAGGAATATCATTTCTGACACGCTCAATTAAAAGCCATGAGTCTAATTTTCTGAAATGTATATGCCTAAATTAAATAGACAGGCAATGCGAAATAGCAAAAAAAAACAACCTTTATTTGGTTGGAAAAAAAAAAGGGGGGGGGGGGGGGAGAAATTACAATGAAAAGTAATGCAATTACAACTCGTTCAAGTAGTTTATTTATTTATGCTCATAATGCTTGTTTCCCTTAGAAAATTATATGTTTGATTAATCAACCACTTACCGAAGAAGAAACAATTTTTGATTTAATCCGCTGTGATAGTAACTACATTACCCATGATGCTAGGCGTCCCGGTTCCGGATTAACTCATTTCCGGTAAGGAAGTTGCTGGTCCAAAACAAACAGATGTAAGCTTGTCGCTTAAATGTTTTAACTTTCAAAGAGTCTTTATGGTATATAATTCATAAACATACTGTAGTAAACAAAGACGTAAGTTTTCATCTTTTCCAGACATAGCAGCATAATATTTAACCACTCTGCTGTTTTGGTGTATTGCTTTCCGAGAGCTAACCAATGCTAACGGCTAAAAGTGGTAACGCTATCGAGCCTTTATCCAGTTTGTTAAACGCTCGAGAGAACCGTCATGCCTTTTAGACGCGATGGCTTACATGTACAAAAGGAAGACCGGCACAGGCTTTATTGTTACAGTTATCTGCTGAGTGAAATCGCAGCTTCATGTCAAAGTTTCCAAATGGCTTTATGTAAAATAATACAATTGTAACAATGCAAAGAAACTGAAACACGAATAAGAAATTAATGAAGGTGATTTAAGGTGTCACGTTGATTTTAATGTTTCATGTTCTTGTAGTTCTTGCTCTGGGAAAGTACATTGAATTGCTTCTGTGTATGAAGCGCCTTGGGCTTCCCGACAGGGTCGAGGAAGGCGCTTCATAAATAAAGCTGATTGAATTGAAACGTAAATACAAATAATGCTGCCTTGCCTAAAACGTTATTCTGTCTAAAAGCTTTGAGTTAGACTATGTATAGTTATGTAATTTTTTTGAGTGAATAAAGTAAATATTTTTTGTGGTTCAAATCAAATGAAGCTGCTTTTTCATTCATTTGCATGTTTGTTTACTAACTAACTAAAACTTTATTTATATAGCGCCTTCACATGGCCCAAGGACCAAACAAAGCGCTGCACAGCAGAAATAAGCATAAAAAAATAAAAACATATAAAACCATTTAAAACATGCAGATAAAATCTAGGTGGGGCTGCAAAAAGTGCAAAGCCAACAGTTAACAGGACTCTTCCTGAATAAAAGCTAAAGAATAAAAGTGAGTTTTCAGCTGGCTCTTAAACTTGCCGAGCGTGCTGGCCTGTTTAACCCATGTAGGTAGCTCATTCCAGAGCCTTGGCCCCAGCACCGAGAAAGCACGACCCCCTCGGGATTGTAGTCTGTGTTTCGGAATGACTAACAGTTCTTGTTGTGCTGACCGAAGGTTCCTTGCGGGAACATAAGGCTTAAGGTTTACTGTGCATGATCAGACTTGAAATACCAATCATTTAAAATCAGCTTTTAACTTTCGTTTTCCAGCATCCATGGAGACACCAGAGCCTGGCCCAGCTGACGGAGAGGAGCGCCCGGTAGAGCTGCGACCTCGGACCCGCTCCAACCCTGAAGGTGCTGAGGACCGTCGCAGCAGCACAGGTAGCCTTGGAGGCAACGGTAACCAGAACATTTCTCAGCCAGCTGTGGGGAGTCGTGTGGAGGGTGAGGGCGAGGCCTCGACCAGCGACAGCCCTCCGAGCTCCATCACCACGACCATCTCAGCCGCTGCAGCTCAGGCCTCTGCTTCTTCGGCTGCTGGTGCAGGAGCTGCAGCCAGCACCACAGTACAGCTGTCAGCTGCTGCAGTGTCAGCTAAAGAAAGACCAAAGTCAACACAGCAACAGTCCACTCTCACAGCACCCGTCCCACCACCTGCAGAGTACCAGATCAACGTTCCTCGGGTCAACTGTCCAGAGAAAGTGGTGGGTCCACATTATACGATCAGAATCCTTTACTAATTCAGGAACTATCACACAAACATGTTCAACTTTGAATAACCCCAGAGCTCCTACTTTCCTTTCCTTTTGACAGATAATTTGCTTGGATCTTTCTGAAGAGATGTCCTTGCCAAAGTTGGAGTCTTTTAACGGGTGTGTATTCACACAAACCATTTTCATTACCATTGCTTTTTGTTATTTTTGTGTGATTTTATTGCATTTCCGTTCAGATCTAAGACAAATGCTTTGAACATATCCCAGAAGATGATTGAGATGTTCGTGAGAACAAAGCACAAGATTGACAAACGGCACGAGTTTGCTTTGGTTATTGTCAATGACGATGCCCTGTGGGTGAGTGCAGGAACCTTTTAAATAATCACGCACCTTTCGATCATGGGACTACTTGGTTTATTTATGAAATAATTAAAAAACAATATATTTTCTGACTGTGATATTTTTGTGAACTTTGTGTTAATAAATGCCACGTGCGTGTGGATGTCTCAGCTGTCAGGCTTCACGTCTGATCCCAGGGAGCTGTGCAGCTGTCTGTATGACCTGGAGACTAATGTGTGCGAGTCTTTCAGTATCCTTTTGCTTCAGACAAATCATTAGTTTCTTATTTTAATTTAAAAGTTCTTGACAAATTCAAGACATTCTGTTTCAAGCTTAACTGCTCTTTCTAGATCTGGAAGATCTTCTTAATGTTATGTAAGTCTCACTGGTATATACAACTTATGAAAATACAAGCAACACACTGTTTTTATCATTTTTGACCCAAGTTTAGTGTAAATTATCCAAATTAAAGTTTGTGCTTTTTGTAGTCGTCAGAAAATTGATCTTCCCTCAATGGAGAATGTTCAGACCATCCCACCGCCGTACGTGGTGCGAACGGTGCTCATCTACAGCCGTCATGCTGGACCTTTACAGCTCAACCCCTCCGAGGCGGTTAGTGTGAGTATAACACCGCTGAGAGGTCTCTCATCTGTTCATGTTGTGGTTTATACATTTATCCTTATTACTGGACGTTGAACAGCCTCCTAGGCACTGTTTTTCTGGCTGTTTTTATTATCAAATGAACTGCCTCTCTCTGTGTGTGTTGTTACAGAAAATGCTGCAATCCCCCTATTTTTTCTTTGATGTGATTTATTTACATAACGGCGTGGATGAGCAGGGAGATGAAACCAGCTGGAGGGTGAGTAGAGAGGATTTTGATTAATTGAGGATGATTAAACTTAATTTTGTGCGCCAGCTTCATTATCTACAGCAGTGGTACTCAACCTTTTTTCACTGATGTACCCCCGTGAAATATTTTTTTCAGCCAAGTACCCCAAATCAGCGCAAAAACATTTTTGGTTGTAAAAAACAAGACCTTAAATAGGTGCCTTCAGTAACTGATTTATTAAACTTTGAAACTGATAAACAAGTACAAAATTCAACCATTTGGGGAAAAAAAAACTATTTTGAATATTTTAAATGTTAATAATCCATAACTAAATGTATTGGAAATATTTTTCAACACTAAAATGAGATTCTAATTAATTAATTGAAAACAGTCACCATAAAACTATTTGAAACCATAAGATTACCCATTGAAAAATCCATAAATGTGCAAAACACTGCACATTTTTTGTAGTATCTCTTGAACTATTTGGAAAAAAAATATATATAACTAGAAATATTAAAAAAAAATCAAATACAGGCCAAAGAAATGATTAAGCTAATTATAATTAAAGATTTGTGCTCATAAAAAGCATATCAACATAAAGTGTTCTCTTTTGGGATCATAGTATATCTGTTCTCTAAAATAAATCATCAACGTCATTTTAAATAACAATTGCTAAAAACAAATGTAAATCTCAAAATATATTTTTAAAAATCAAAAAGAAGACTGAAATCTTAACATTACTGCACTGATCGGAGTGTTTTTACAGACTTTTTAGTGAGACACTTGGGCTTGTGTTTCACTGAGGATCTTTTTCATCCTTGGTGGCAGGGAGGCAACTGCTGTGATCAAGCTCTTTTTTAGACACAGTCTGCTTCTCTGATGTACCCCCTGGAGTTTCTTTACGTACCCCCAGGGGTACGCGTACCCCCATTTGAGAAAGGCTGATCTACAGCATGCTCTATTATGAATTAAAGCTGCAAAGGCAAATTTGGAAAACTAATCATTTAAAAACATTTTTTCATGCCCCTTAACAACATTCTAACATGGTGAAGCTATAAATATGTAGTGGAGGTTAAAAGAAAACAAATAATAAAGTTGATTATCTCGCATTTGTCTAAAAACGTTCACTAATAACCCATTTCGGACCAAAAGCAACTATTGGACCTTCCGGTGGTTTGTTTCGCCGACCTGCTGCACTACCCTGGGTCCTCCACACATAACACACTCACTTATTTAGCAACAGAACACCACTGGTGTGAAAGGGTCTCGATAAAGCCAGAGAAGGAGAAACATCTGGCTGCTGCCACATCAACTTTAGGGTTAGGGAATAAAAGAAAAACACCATTTTGACGTCACAGACAACAAAAGATCTTTGGGTGTAGAAAACAGCAGCAGGCGTTTACTAGGGATGAACGATTCTGGAAAGTAATCTAATTGTGATTTTTTTTTTCTTCAATAATCTAATTGCGATTTAATTCAAGATTATTTTCTCATATTTTTCAACGGAACGGAAGCAAAAAAAAATCTATGTAACTTGTACTGAATATAAACAAGTTTATGTATCTACATATTTATCTTCATATCATATGAACAAGTTCATTTGTCTACATATACATACACACCCACAAGTAAAGACACATTTTTGTATTTGAAGGTGCAATGCTTTACAGCCAGGAGCACATCCCTTGAAGGAGTACAGGTATTAGCAACACCTGTGAAAATGTATTTGCAGGAAAGAATTTTGTCCCATTTATTGAAGTCCCTAGTGTTTAGAGTGTTTGACGTCTTGTCCATGCAGATCTTCCGTAGTTGAGTTACATCCATAGCTGCTAGCCAAAACTCATCGGAGTTAAAGTCTCATACGGTTTTCTAACTTTGCCAAAATATCTGTCTGCTTATTTGATTGATGGCAGTTTTTATATTTTATTAGACTCCAAATGTAATGATTTGGCATGTTCCTAATTCGTAATTTGTGAGAATGTAATCTGCGATATTAGCATTAGCATCCCGATGAGTTTTAGCATTGTGCTAACCACTCGCTGCCAGTCAAATCACAGCCTTTGCGATTAGAAAATCTCCTTTTGCCACATCGCAATTTAATTGCATGTGCAACTAATCGTTCAGCCCTCTCGTTGTGTCCGTCATCGCAGATTTCTGGTTCCTGCAGAAGTGTTTCAGGGAAGATACCTGTGGGGGGGAGGGTTCCATGACCGTGTTTGCGTTCCAAACCCAGCTTGTTTGCAGATTCGCCATAACAGCTTTAATTGTGCAATGATTATTTCATCAACTTTAGTTTTGCACATTTGCTATTTGTTCTTTTTGCCACGCTTAAAAAAACTATCCTCTTAGTTTTACAGTGGGCCAAATGCTTAATGTTGGTTCATCCAACTAGGTGTTAAGAACATGACACCATTTACTTAAAGGGACTTTACGGAGTTTTGAATTTTTATGCTCGCGATTGCCCCCTCAGGCCAAAAGCGTAACGGCAGCTTCAATAGTAGGCTCGTGCACGAGGTGCGCATGCTGTACGTGCACACTCCTTAACAAAAATAACAGCTGAGACAGTCCCGTGTGTGTGTGTGTGTGTTTGTGTGTGTGTGTGTGTGTGTGTGTGTGTGTGTGTGTGTGTGTGTGTGTGTGTGTGTGTGTGTGTGTGTGTGTGTGTGTGTGTGTGTGTATGTGTGTGTGGCCCGGAGGACAGGAGAACGCGCAGCTAATTAATTAAATAATTTGGTTCTGTACCTTTCTCTTCAGCACAGCCGACAAAGGTTTATGATGGGTCAGTCCTCCTGCATGCTCAGATCATTCCCTTCCCTTGCTTGAAAATTTGTTCCAAAATGAAAGTTGAACCCTTTTTTATCTGTGAATTCAATGCCGTTCGGCGAGTCTCAAATAAAAATTTGGGCATCTTACTGTAAAAAATATACCATTAATGTAAAAAATAAACTCTAAATAAAAAACTATGTTCACATCCAAAATCGAACCCGGGTCTTCTGCACGAGTGTCCGACGTCTTACAAGGTGAGCTATAGCACCAGTGATGTCTTTTGTATCTGTAACATTTATATCCTTGATGACAGCTGAAACGACGTTCAAAGAATGGTTCGGAGCGAAAATGGCTATTTTGTTGCTAATTTGCAGGACATATCTAGAAGAAAGTAGCTAAGGCCCTTAGAAATGTAGCTAGGTTCATCACTAGGCGTTAGGAACAGCGACAAAGTCTCTGAGTTGGCACTACCTCTCTCTCTGCTGCTAAAGCTACTGACAGCAAATGCTACGGGCGATGCCTGAGCATGAACGCGCATGAAGCAGCCTGCTCGACCCGAGCAGCTGTCTTTTTCTGTGATTTTACAGAAAAGCAGGCAATCACAGTAAAAATGCCAGGGCTCATTCTACAGGACCAGGGCATTGCAGGAGAATGTAGGAAGAAGATATTTATTATTTCTATACATGTTTTGGCTGTCAAACTTCCATAATGCCCCTTTAAATCTAATTAAGCAGCATTTTAGGGAGCCTAAGGCTCCTCCCCTTCCTGTTGGCTCATGGATCCCCTTAAATGGAAAAAAAAATGAATGTAAGTGAACGAGGTCAGCCTTATGTCCTGAATCGCACGTAATTTGTACTTCAATTTAAATAATTATGTGTATTTCATATTTTCACACAAAACTCAAAGTAACTATTGCTGCATGTTGAAAATAAGCACTTTCCTGGCATCAAAATATGTTTTTAAATTAGGGATGCACATTATGTTGGCATCAATATCGTTATTGGCCCATGTTAGGCATTTTTAAACATATTGGTCCAATAAATAAAACTGGGCCAATATTAACAACCGTTCATTTGTTTATGTATTTCAGAGGGTGAGGGGGGTGATGTGTGTTTGTTTAGTCATGTCCCAACCACTTCTATTGTAGAAATATATAAATGTTTGTGGCGGTAATGCTAACCACAGAACAACGCTAACCCAAGCTACTGCTATCCTTATTGGAGAAGAGGAAAAACAAAGAATAATGTCGGAATAACAAATATGATGTTCCAGAAGGTTTGCCAGATCCAGAGCTTTGTGTTATCCAGGATTATCAGGATAAAACTGTACAGAGTTTCTAACACCAGGCAGCATCCTAGAGCCCTCAGGGTAAACTGGCCAATCAGCACATAGCTCATTTAATATTCATATCCTGGTCGAGTGGGTGGGGAAAACCAGTCTCTCCATTGTAGGGTTTTATTATGGGCTCCTGGGCCTTTTTGAGCCTCAACAAAGTTTCATATGCTTTATAGAGGCACAAAGAGCCGTTTCCACTTGTAAGAAAAAGTCGTTCTAGAACATCCCAAGTGTTGCAAAAGTGAGGCAATATTTTGTCATGCTTCTAAATTTCACACGTGAACTTTGTAAAACAGAAACGTGTTAAGTTTTTGTTTTAACCAAAAATTCTGACTTGACTTTCATGTTGGGATGCTAAATAAAACTCACGGTTTTGTTTCTTTTGACTGCGGATGTGACACGTGCATCGATCCGGCCTTACAAAGTAAATATTTCTGTTGCATTTTTCAGTCTTTTTTTCCCTCCCTTGCTGAATATTTCTATTCATCTTCCTCAGGACAACTACTCTTCTTTCTGTAACCTGGACTCAAAGGGCATGTGCTACCATTATGAAGTCTCCCTGAGTGGGCTTGCTATCGAGCTGCACAACTGCATGGCTAAGCTGTTGGCCCATCCTTTACAGAGACCTTTCCAGAGTCACGCATCTTACAGTCTGCTGGAGGGCGACGACCCCCAGGACTCCGAAGCGATGGTGTAAAGCAGACACAAGCTGCTGGTGAGCAGAGAGTACTCTGTTCTACTGGTTTTAAAAGGATTTTTTACTTCTCCATTTACTGACATACAGGTCATGAGAATTACTGCAACGTGACTGATTGTCAGTAATGATGGCGAGGATGTAAATGTAGTGGTTAAGGCACTGAGCTTACACCCATATTCATTTTAATCATCTCCTTGTAAATCCTAAGGTAGGAAATCAAGCAAATGAAAATAAGTGCAACACGTTTCCACAAAGAGCTTTTGGACAGAATAAAATAAATGTTTTAAATGTCCTGCACAAAACTCACTGGTTTTATCTGTTTTGATGCCTTTCAGTTGGAAACTTCCCTCTTTTTTATAGCTTGTTTGAATGTATTTTCTGTTTTTAAAGGGTTGTTGTTCATTTGTTTTGTTTGATCAGATGTATTTTCTTTGACAACGATCTCTCTGGTGGTGGAAATCCAGCTTTTCTAAAGTTGTTTTTGGGTTATTAAAAGTCATGTTTAGTTCTGAGCAAATGTTTTCTTTTGCTTTAAATATTTTTGGCCAGGAGATGGCAGCAAATCCTCGTTTGAGATAAAGCTAAACATCTTCATGCTTCACTGGGGGAGAACTTTTACTCTTTTGAAGACTAAAACTACAAGCAGATGAAATGGCAAATGGTTGAAATCTATTTAATTCTGTTAAACGTGCCTCCTGTACATTTACCACTGTAGAAGATGATGCCATTTCCTGCATTTTAACAGGTTGTTGAAGATTTTTAAATTAACTAGTGAAACAAGAGAGCTTTAAAAACTAACTAAATGGTTGAGCGTCAGCCTGAGGAAGTTTGCAGCCGCAAACGAAACGTAGCGGGAAAACAGGTAAACAAAACTGCTGTGTTTTAAAAAAGAACTACAGCATGGCACTAAATGGTCACTGAAATAACATTAAGAAATGACAATAAAAGGCCTGGTTATTTTTAACCTGAGCTATCATCTGAATTTCAGAAATGAATCAGGGTCTGTTTGGAGCGTTAAAAATAATAAACCTTCATTTAAAATGTTGGATGCTTATATGGCGTGTATGGTTTAGGGCTTGTATTTGATATAGCGCCTTCTAGAGTCCTGGAACCCCCAAGGTGCTTTACAACACAATCAGTCATTCACCCATTCACACCCTGGTGGTGATGAGCTACGATGTAGCCACCGCTGCCCTGGGGCGTACTGACAGAGGCACCACCGATCCCTCTGACCACCACCAGCATATCTATGTTTAATAATACCAGCAGGTGTCTGGGCTGAATCAATAATAGCCAGCTAGCTGATGGATATCCTTCACTAACCAGCTACTAAAAACCTCTTCAATGTCCTTTTGGGACATTTTGACTTTTATCCCCTGATGTCCATTGTGTCTGAAGAGGGAAAACCATCTTCTGTTACTGAAAGTAAACCAAAGCTTCCTGTCAACCATTTTAAAGTTGAATTTAACATTTTATGTCACTTTGGCCCATGAAAGAAAATAAAGTTTAGCCAGAACTTCTACAGGCTGAAACAGCAGTACAATGTTATGAGTTTGTGTTCCTCTCCTTAAAGAGGAGATGAGTCTGGTTATCTGATCATCAGCACCCGATCATCGTAATAGTTCTTGACAGAGGCCCATCATGTTTCTTTATTTGAATTCACCCAAAATCACTTCATCTTTATGCTGCACTGTAAAAACAAACTGTTGTTTGTACAGGAAATCCCTGGCAGCGGTGATAACCAGAGTTTTCCTGTAGTTTTTACAGCTGCACAGTAAATACCTTTACTGAAGAACTGTCAATTAATTTACAGTGATTGAAATCACATTAAATATCTTTTAAATCTACAAAAAGTATTTGTTAATTTTGCATATCAATGTTATTTATAAATAAACCCTTTCTTGTAATCAAAATTTATTCAGTCAGGTGCAGAGCTGTAGAAAGAGAGAGTTGCGACGCGCTTTGAACTCGCCGACTCGCGGTCACGTGGTTCATGGAGCTCTCAATAGTTCCAAACATCCCAGTGCCGTAAATCAGTTTGAACAGCGTACGGTGGGACAAATCACAAAAATTAAATGTTGTCACATTTTCCCTGATGATTTTTGGTAATAATTGAATAATATTATATATTATATTATATATTATGTCCTAATTCCTTCACAAAGTAGCCTATTTATTTTTTTCCGAGCATTTGTAGGAAGACAGACACCCGTGACTGTTCTACATTACAGGAACACGACAGTCCGAACACACTGTAGAACACATTTAGACCACATACATTAGTGTCAAAAGATTTAATCCTCGACCATGTAATTCATACCCAGCTGATGCATATCTTGGTGACCTTCAACACCATTTTCAGAGATCTCCTGGAGTAACTCTCGAGGACAAGATCTTTCTGATAAGGTTGACCTCCGATGCAGTGGGTTCATTCATTAAACGCCAGCAGGATGCGATTGCAAATGATTACGACCGGATAGAAGCTGCAATTCGAAGAGAATATACTTACGATGCTAAAGAAGCTGGTTTAAAGTTAGCTTTGTCAGTCAAACAAGGTCGTAATGAAGACCCACAAGCTTTCTACCTACGCCTCTTTGGCGCGTACTTTGGTTCAGAATGTAAAAAGGGGATGGAAGAGGAAAAAGGCTTTAAAGAGCTCTTCCTGGATAATTTGCATCCTCAGTATGGTCCCCATATGGGTGCTGTAGACCTTCAAGTCAAAACTATGGACGATCTCAGGAGGATGGCAAGTTATAGCTTCAGGCGGTTCAAAGATTCCAGTAAGTCTGAGGACACCCCTTCGGTCCTGGCGGTGGAGGCAGATCCCTCCACGCTGCGACTCGAAGGGACTACGTCAGGAACTGGTAAAGCTAAGAACTGCAAACCTAGTGCTAAATTAAAGGCCCAGAACTCCTATGTAGCGTTACGAAGTGTTACCTAATCCTTGCAATAAAAAGTTCCGATCTTCTGTTTAAAGTGATATTCAAAGATACATCAGTTGATTTCATATTTTCAATAGAATCTCACCTTCGATGGTTTCCTACGTAAGATGTAACTATTGATCCACTACACCTATAACAATTCCAAGCTGCGAGGGTTTCCCACTAACAGGTCTCAGAGTTTCGCCAGAGCCCAGGACCCCCCACTGGCTGGTGAGGGGGACCCTAAGTCAGCAGGTACTCATCCATGTTAGGAGCATTACGTGGTGAGTTTTCAAGGCGTTTTGAAGATCTCAGAACAATCGAGGATGAAATGCACATGATTTCCTCTCCCTTTACCTGCAGTGTGGATAATGCACCCAGTGATGTGCAGCTGGAACTCATTGACCTGCAGTCTGATGCAGTACTGGCAGAGCACTTTAAGTCAGGATCTCTGCTGGATTTCTGCTCTTCTCTTAAGGAGGAGAACTTTCCAAACCTGAGGAGACATGCTCAGAAGATGTTGGTTCTCTTCGGCTCTACCTACATTTGTGAACAAACATTTTCAATGATGAAGTTTACAAAATCCAGGTATAGATCCTCTCACTGATGATCATTTGTCAGCTGTGCTTCACATCTCCACCTCAGACTTTCAACCTGACTTTGATGCACTCGTTAAAGCCCAGCAGAGACTAGATTTCTCTCACTGAATAAGAAAAAAATCGCTTAAAAACACAAAATACGGTGTTTGGACCACAAATGTAGGCAACTAGCAGTGAACTGGGACACTTTTTTTAAACCTCTTTCTCAAGATCACAGTCAGATCACAGTTCAGTGATTTTATTTTACAGACAATACTGTGTGTCTGTAGAATGCCAAGAACCTCTTTCCAACAATATTTGAAACTCAAAATGTGTTTTGGAGTGAATGTGACTGAAACTGTTAACTAATATAAGTCACAAATGTTTAACAAAAACCAAATGTGCACACTTTGTTTACCATTGCCTTGGGAAATTTGAATAAATCACATTTTTGTAAGCCAACCTCACTTTTTCCTTTTTGCTCATTTATAACATATAGTCTACTCTTACCAGCTTGAAAAAACAATGGTATTTACTGCTTTTTATAAAGAAATACCATTAATATTATGCATAATTGACTTCAGCCTTTTGGCCTGGCCCCCTACAATATTTTCTGTTTCTCATGTGGCCCCATGGAAAAAATAATTGCCCACCCCTGAGTTATGGGCTACAGATTATTTTGCCCTTCTGTTTTAATAACATTTTTGCTCAAAAGCGTTGATTTTCCCTTAAATATATTACAGGGTTATGTTAATTTGGTTCTTTTTGCAACACTTTTCCAGCACACGTAGTTTCCTGCATTCATTTCTTTCACCTGAACTCTGTTCACATAATTTGCTTCACATAGGACGTATAGGTACATATAGTGCTAGGTTTATTTTTATTTTTTATTTTACATCAGATGCAATCTGTGTGTCTACATTCAAGTGCCATGCATGTGTGCTCTTCTCCTCTCCTGGGTTTCACCTGTGATCCTCGCCTCCTGGGAGGACCTCTCTACACCATCGCCTGATTCGGCTGCCTGCTGCCTGAGGGTCCGGTTTGCTTGGCTCTGGCCGTCCTGTGGTTCCTGCCGTGGTTGCTGGAGTTCTACGGTTCACCTGGGACCGACTGCGGTCCCTGCTCATCTGCTTCCTTCCTTAGGATGGTGTTAAGTGGAATTACCTTTTCAAGTTTGGAAGTTACATTGACTATTCTCTGGTGTGGGGGGTTGCTTTCCTCCTGTGGGAGGCACATATGCAAACTGTTGTAATTCCTACACCGTTCACCTGATATGGATGTAAATACCCTCAAATAAAAGCTGACAGTCTGCAGTTAAAGCACATCTTGTTCGTTTCATTCGATATCCATTGTGGTGGTGTATAGAGCCAAAAATGTTAGCATTGTGTTGATGTCCCAATATTTATGGACGTGACTGTATATATGTGGCAGTGTGAGTGTCCTGTCACAGTGTCCCGATTGATCATGCGCCCTGGCTACTTGGCCAAGGGGATATCCCTTTGTCTGACTGGTTAACGTGCGTGACTCTCACCCGGGAGTCTGGGGATCAAATCCCACCCGGGCCCTCGTTACTTCACCTTGCCACATTTGGCGTTGTTGGCAGGATCCATGTAGTACTGTCAAGTAGGTCCATGGATGTGAAGTTTGTGGCACCCTGCGGGGGAGCATGAGGACGTGCTTGTGGAAAGAGGGGGGAAGATGTGGCAGTGTGAGCGACCTGTCAGTGTCCCGATTGATCATGCACCCTGGCTACTTGGCCGGGGGGATGTCCCTTTGGCTGACTGGTTAGCATGCGTGACTCTCACCCGGGAGTCTGGGGATCAAATCCTGCCTGGGCCCTTGTTACTCCACCTTGCCACATATGTGTGTATGTATGTATGTATGTATATATATATATATATATATATATATATGGAACTGTGCTTGATGTTTTTCCTGGGATCTGCTTTAGCCACTCCGTTTGGGGGTTATTGCCCCGACGACCACGGGCACCACCGATGTCTTCACCCTCCAGGCTTCCTCAAGTTCTTCTTTGAGGTGTCTTGTTCTCTGCCTTCTTAGGGGTGTAACCCACTTTGAGTTTGGGGCTTTCAGTCCACACTCTGCACAGACATTTCTGTATTCTGTGCCAGCTACTTGGTTGTAGGATTTCCCTGCCAGCATCTTACACCCTGCAGTTATGTGACGGATTGTCTCAGGGGGCCTTTTTGCATAGCCTGCACCTAAAATTAAAAAAAATGTTTAATTGTAACAAATATGGCCACTGATTGTTCACGATTACAATATAAAGCAGTTCTCCCTTGTCCCAAATATCTAACCCAGTTTTCTGTTCCATCCAGGGAAGAGTCTTTTCCCAGCATGACGTTTGAATTAGGATCACATCTGATTGTTATTCTCCTTCTTGGGAGTAAATTTGTTCACTACGGTGCAATTATATTTGAAAACACATCAGTCAGATACAAGTGTGTTTGATGTCTTCATTACTCAGTAATCTAGTGAAGGTGTTATGATATTCGGCATGTATGGATTTAATATTAATGTTCTTA